CAGGCATACACGCAGACAGAATACTGTATACTTAATAAATAAATAAATATTTTATATAAAAAAAAGATCTAATGTTTGGTAAACCCTTGAGGACCTCTGCTGGCAGAGAGGGAAGAGAGAGCAAGAACAAGGGGACTCAGACCTGAAGTGACAACGTATACCATTTGTACTCCTTCCACAAACTGCCCATGTCTCATCATGTGACCATGTCTGACAGTTTGGGAAGCTGGGAAGTGTCTGGCTCTATGTTCAGGAGGGGCCCAAGCCATGTGGGGAATTAATAGAGTCTATCATAGCATCGTTAACCTTCCCAGGGAAACTCTGAGGTCTTGGCTCAGGCAGATGTGGGTTTGCGTCTTGGGGATGTTATTTACTCACTTGGAGAAGTATTTCATCTTTCTGAGCCTTGACTCAGAAACTGTGAAAAAGAATCGTGTGGGCTAGGCATGGTGGTGCACACAGCCTTCAGCATCTGGAGGCTGGGGCAGTAGATCGGAAGTTCAAGGGTAGCCTGAACAGTAAAGAGCAGCCCTTCTGTTGTGTAGCTGTTTCCACCCTAATACAGGCACCATCCCCATCCCATGGGAGAGAAGTAAAGGAAAGTTACAGGGCCCAGGAAGTAAAGGAAAGTTACAGGGCCCAGGAAGTAAAGGAAAGTTACAGGGCCCAGGAAATTCCTTAAAAGGAGTTGCAAGGCCCTTCCTCTAGAATTTATGACCAGTCCCAGCTGCCTAGAGAGCTATGGCAGAGCTCCTGTTCCCAGTAGGGAGCTCCAGAAACACAGTTTTCATGAATTTTCACCCCTGCTTGGATGGGCTTTGGGGATGCAGCCGCCTGTGAGTCATCTATGCCGTGTATGGTTGTATCATCCCTGACTCACAGTCCTTCAGGTAGCCCAACAAACACTGGTATTAATTCTATATATCTTAACACCACTTAACACCAGACTTCTTCTTCTTTTTTTTTTTATCAGCAACAACCAACATGATGGGAGTCTTTATATAGTAATAGATAAATTAATCAAATTAGAAATCACATGGAACATTTAACAAGCTTCAGGTAACAAGAGCATGTTAACACCAGACTTCTACATGTGGGTAACCTTATATTCTTTTTTTTTTTTTTTTTTTTTTTTTTTTTTTGGCTTTTTCGAGACAGGGTTTCTCTGTGGTTTTGGAGCCTGTCCTGGAACTAGCACTTGCAGACCAGGCTGGTCTCAAACTCACAGAGATCCGCCTGCCTCTGCCTCCCGAGTGCTGGGATTAAAGGCGTGCGCTACCACCGCCCAGCCACCTTATATTCTTTTAAAGTCCCAGTAGTTCAGTTTAGCAAATGCCTGTGAACCCCTCTGCAGAGGCAGGAGGATTAGGAGAAAGCTGTTTATGACTACATAGTTAGGTCTAGGCTACATGGGACCCTGTCTCAAAAATCTAAAAAAAAAAAAAATTCTGTAGTTAACATATATGTAATAAGAGTAACTTATCATCTTAGCACTAAATATTAAAATTTCCCAGAATTAAGAATCTTAATCTGTTAAATATTTAGTATGGTTCTCAAGTGAATAGTTTCATGTGGAATAGGGATGTCAGTGGAGACCGAGGCTGGAGACAAGGAGCAGAGTGGTGGTTCCATGTTGGTACAGAATTGTCTGATAGGAAGCAAAGTGTTGCTTCCCACCCAGCCACTTCATACCTTCTCCCTTCCTCCTTTTCCCTGCAGCCCAAGCTGTCATCCTCCTGCCTCCACCTCCTGAGTGCTGGGAGTATAGGCTGGAGCCACCATGCCCAGCTGATGCAGTACTAAGGATTAAATTCAGGGCTTTGTGCATGCTGGGCCAGCACTGCTCCAGCTGAGCAGTATCCCCAGCAGGGATCCTAGCATCTGCTCTCCCAGAGCCTTTGCTCTGTCTGACTGCCACTCACAGCGTTGCAGAGATGGCCCGGTGGAGTTCTGCATAGCTGCTGTGATCGCTAGAAATAATAGTTCAGCCAGCCCTGAAGATGTGATAGGTACTATGCAAAACACCTTAGGGCACAGTGACTTTCTCATCCAACCTTCATGACCCATCTATGAGGCAGGCATGGCTATTCCCATCTTATAGGGGGACCGAGGGGCTAGAAACGCATGGCCTTCTGGGTGAGAGACCTGCTAGAAAGCCCTTCCCACTCAGCTGTCCTTCCTACCAGCCCGGTGGGGAGAGCAGGGATTTGGAGTTGTCTGACACGCTGTCCCCCACTTGCTGCCCCTTTCTGTGTCTGGGGCTGGAAGAACACAGAGGGGGTAGGTTCTTTATTTTATTTTATTGGCTTTTTGAGAAAGGGTGTCTCTATGTAGTCCTGGCTGGCTTCTAAGTCACAAGAGATCCTCCCGTCTTTGCCTCCCAAATGTTAAAGGTGTGCACCACCATGTTTGACTGTGGTGGGGATGATGTTGGTGGTAGGCTCAATTTTCATTCTGGTTGACAGTGGGCTTGGCCTGGTTTACCTCAATGTTTCCATTAAATTCACCCTCCAGGGAATAGACTGAACCTCGAAGGAAAGTGAAATTTATAATTCGTGGGGGAAGGGCCCTGTCCTTGGCCATCCCTCTGTCATCTCCCTGTCACTGCATTCTCCTGGGCTCATCCCTCCTATAACAAAGCTCAGAGTAGGGGTTTCTTTGTGGGCAGCAGTTTCTTTCCTTTGTGTCACAGACGCAGTAAATCTGTGAACGAGTGGGCCTGGGGCTGGGCTCAGCTGATGGCACTCTCTGGGACCTGGGTCCAGCCTGTGTGTTCTCTCATCCTCTCTCTCCCCTTTCCCATCTGTCCTCAGCAGTGCAGTCCCAGAACTATGGAGAGATGGCAAACCAAGCAAAGAATCCGCGAGGGCCGCGGAGAAGGGAGCAAGCGCACCATGGGAAGATGCAGGCCAAGCTCCGGCTGATGCGGGTAAGAGAGGCCCAGAGCAGGAGACACAGCTCCACAGACTGCAGCAACGCCGGTCAATTTCCTCCACTCAGCAAGCTCATGGGCACACTTAACTATTCTTATTTTGCAGATGGGGAAAGAAATGGCTTGTACCAGGTCACACAGCCAGAAAACAGCGGCGTGGGGGCCCAAACAGTTAAGATTGGGATGTTGAGTTTAGACTGAATTAGACCAGTTCTCTGTATTAGAAATGTAATCAGGCAGGACGGTGCCTTTAATCCCAGCACTCGAGAGGCAGAGGTAGGCAGATCACTGTGAGTTTGAGGCCAGCCTGGTCTACAAGAGCTAGTTCCAGGACAGGCTCCAAAAGCTACAGAGAAACCCTGTCTCGAAAAACCAAAGCAACAAAAAACCAAACCAAAACAACAATAACAAAACAAAAAGTAATGGGGCGGTGCTTGAAAAGGCTTATAAAAAAAAAGCTCGTCAGTTGCTACCCTTGTAGCTAACTCACCCACCCTTTTCCCCAGGCTGGCCTTGAACTCACAGTCCTCCTGCCTCAGCCTCCAGAGTGCTGGGTTACAGGTGTGCGTTACCATGGCCACCTCTGTTATACATTGTTTTATGTATAACACTTGAATCATATTTTAAAGCTTTTTTTTTGTTGTTGTTGTTGTTGAAAGACTAGTCTCATGAAGCCTAGCTTGCTAGCTTGCCTTAACTCACTATGTAGCAGAGGGTGACCTTGAACATGGTGAGTTCCAGGCTAGTGAGGGTTAAACTGTGAGACTCTGAGTCAAAAATAAAAGTAAAAATATATGGTTTCCCTGTCAGCCGTCCTTTTGCCAGATGGTTTCAATGGGCTGATCATTCGTAGGAGGTCTGTTTCTGATGTTCTTTTTATCCTCTCTGTAGGAGAGTTTGTGTGTTTTTGTGTGATACAGGGTGTGGATATGGACAGTGACCTGTGCCCCTCAGCAGTTCTTCATGCTGTGTCTTTTGTAAGCATTCATTCATTCAGTAGGTCCTGGTTGAACACCTGCTGTGGACCAGGCCCTGTCCTGAGCGTGGAGAGTCACCAGGGCGGGACTCTGGCCTTGGGGACAGGTGATTATAAACACACATATAAAACGTGAAATAATAAGCCAGAGGACATGGTAGTTCATGCCTGTAAACCCAGCACTTGGGAGGCCGAGGCAGGAGGACCTCCCAGCCTGCAGAGTAAGTGCAAGGCCACCTTGGACTAAAGAATGAGAACCTGTCTCTAAGAACAAAGACAAAAATGGCACTAACAGGTACAGTGACAATATAGGTATGAGGAAGCCAAGACTACGGTTGGAGGCTGAAGGAACCCAGGAGAAGTTCAGGAGGCCATTTTAGAGGAAGTGGTCGGGGAGTGAAGAGTAGAGGTAGACAGTTGGGGGAGGGCATGTTTACAGCTTGTTAGAGACGCCTGGTGAAGGCGCTGTTCCAGGTGTTGGAGATGCCTGGTGAAGGCGCTGTTCCAGGTGTTGGAGACGCCTGGTGAAGGCAGGCACTGTTCCATGTGTTGGAGACGCCTGGTGAAGGACGCTGTTCCAGATGTTAGAGACGCATGGCGAAAGATGCTGTTCCAGGTGTTGGAGACACGGCTCTGTACAGGGTACTAATGCAGGGCTTGAACTTCACTTGAGAAACAGACTAATGAATTAACCCCCGCCCTGAAGAAGAGACACCCCTTAGTTTATCCAGCGGCTACTCGCAGAGCTCCACGCATTGTCCTTGCTCTGGTGATCGCAGAAACACGGCCTGCTCTTCTGTTGTGACTTGCTGCTGGAAGGAGGACCAGCAAGACCATAAGGAAGGCCCTTGTGTGGGATGGGGTCCTAGAAGGAGTAGGTTCGGAGTGGAGATTGTACTTGTGTGATTACATATTGAGGTCAAGGTCTTACAGGAGACACCACCACCCCATATTAGATCTGCGGTTAGACAAATTTCTAGACCAGAGATCATAAATTCCCATTTCTCAGAGTCACTGAGAAAGTAGGGGGTGTCGATGTGTGTCCCCAGATTTTCATTTCACCAGCAATTTAAGCTCTCTTCTTAGGGATTTGAGAGTGGCTTTTAAAAAGCAAAAACAAAACCACACTCAAGGCATTTCTGTATTTTGGGGTCTGGGAATGTGGGAGCAAAAGTGGAGTGGTTAGTAGCCATGAACAGCAGCTCTGCTGCGTGTGACCTTGGGTAAACTATGGAGTCTGAACTTGTATATAGTTCATGTTTTGCCAGGTAGTCCTCCTGTGTCAGCCTGTGTTGGCATGACACGCCGGTGCCACCATGCATTGGGCTCCTGGCAGCACAAAACCCACTGACTCCTTAGGTGGGAAAGTGGAAACACAGACTTTGAGACTCTGAAGTTTGGCTTCCCAGTCTCAATACTCTCAGTTCCGGGCGGGCTGTGTGACAGTATCATAACCTCCCTAAGTCCCCACTTGTGAGCTGGAGGATGAACCGATTCTGTGTGTCATGTGTAGAGCAGGTCACAGCACTTGCCTGTCCTCGTGTCTCGTGGGCCAGTTGTTGTTGTTAATATTATTTGTTATTAACTGCTAACATTATTGCTGTCATGTACCGCTGGGTGTAACCTTGGGCAATCACTTACCCTTCAGACTCACTTTCCACAGGGGCATTGTATGATAAGAAAAGATAAGAAAATGTGGGTGTTCTCACTTCACCCATCCCTGCATCTAGTCCAAACCTAGCCTGTCATCTCTGCCGACTTCTTAACCAACTGGGCCATTATCTTGTTCATTCTTTCTAGTTTTCATGTATTTGAAAGGTCTTTAGTAATAGGGCGTATCCTTATCAACTGATGTTTGGTAACTAGATGGTGATGAGCCACCAGCTGTAAGACGAATTCTCATTTCAGAGATGTGACAATGGGTATGTGTGTATGTGTGTTGCTTAGTGGGTGAAAAGGTAACAGTGTCTCTTTTTCCAGGCGCTCTGACCTGCAGGGGATGGGGGAACCAACTGGGAACATTTACCACAAGAGGCCTGGCGTGGGAGGGTCTTTAGCGTGCACCCCCGCCCAAGTTAGGGCATGTATACAGCTACTTTCCTCCCCGCTCTCACCCCACATCCATAGTCGATGCTTCGAAATCAGCGGACCTCACTCCAGGAGCTCTACAGCCACGAGAGCTTCCTCAGCAAGCTCAACCAGGAGCTGATCAAGTCCATCCAGGACATGGAGGACAGCATGGCCCTGAGCGTGCGCGCAATGCTGCAGCAGCAGGGCATTCTCGGGGTGAGCCACCTCCTCCCCTCTGCTAGCCTCCTCCTCGTGCAGGCGCGCCCTCTGCTGGCTACTCCCGACTCCTGTCTGAGAAATGCAGTGCCTCCCTTCGTCCCCACTTACCAGCCTGGAGACTTTGGGCTGACCTTATATCTTGGAGCTTGGTGGAGTGGATCCCAGTAACACCCACCGCAAAAGGGAGGTTGTGGCTATCACACCTGGCATTTGTGCAGTAGAAAGTTATTTGGTGCTGCCACTACCACCACCACTGCCATTAAAGTGTCCACAGTGAGACACCAAATGCTCGATGTGCAGTCATATATACCTCCCAGCAGCCCGGCAGACTGTCCGTTCCAGGCTACTGTCCTCATATTCTTGTCCTCATTTTTAGATAAAGAAATGGAAAGCACAAGGCTAGGGGATTGGACTTGCTCCAGGTCATCCGGATAGCAAGAATCGGGGCGAGGATTTGAACCCAGGCAGTCTTACCCCAGATCTGTGCTGTCCTTGCCCCGATCTCTTTCTTTTTAGGGAGTATAGTAGGTTATCTTGCTGGAGGAGTAACTTTGTACTATCTGGAGCCCACCCTGCTATTAGGAAACCCAGTGGTGGCTTGTAGGGTCTGAGAGCCAGCGAAGCATCCTCCTGGTGCTGGGGAGAGGGCGGAAGGTCCCAGGGACGGAAGGTCTGGGCTGGAGAACAGTCAGAGAGTAGAGGACTGCAGTTGGCCCGGAGCTGACCTGGTATGTGTGAGGTACAGAGGAATGTTCAGATGCTGGGGGTGAATTAATCTCTCAGGGTGCGTGAGGTAGGAAGGAAGGTACTAGGGTGGGGAGCTTCCATAGGAGTAAGGTCAGGGGTCAGCGGGGCTGGCTTCTGTTGTAGCCTTTTCTTCCTATTTTGCAGATGGTCATCTTCTTACCATGTCCTTAAGCCTTTTCTCTGTGTGTGTGGAGAGAGTGCTGCTGTCTTGTGGGGACACACCGGTCTTCTCTGATGAGGGCCTGTCCTCTTATTTACTTCCCTAAGGGTCCTGTCTCCAAAAGCAGTTACACCTAAGAAGTTTTGGTAGACACAGTCCAGTTGTAACAGAGACCAAAGCCACACTGCCCTTCAGCCCAAGCAAACTTCTTGTTCACACACAAACACACAGACACACACTCGTACATACGCATGCACGCACACACACACACACACACACACACACGCATGCACACATGCACACCCTTGCATGTGGAGGCCACTAGGTGTTGTTGTTCCTTAGACACTGTCCATCATCTTTATTGAGATGGGGTCTCTCCCTGGAACCTGAGGCTTGCGTATTGGACTAGGCTGAGTGGCTAGCATGTCTCCGGGATCTGCCTGTTTGGATACTTCCAGTACTGGGATTTATACGCCCACAACATCACACCTGTGGGTATTGGGGTTTGAACATCCCTCTATCCCCTTAGACCTATGGGCCTTGGGGAGCAGCTATCATGAGAGTGCCCACATAAAACTTTACCTCTAATGGGGTTGCAGGCACTTGCAGTTGGCATTTGGTCTGTGCTGTACTGGAGTTGAGGAGACTTGGGGAGCCCCAAGGGGAGCTCTGATTCAGACATTGGTGCATCAGAAAGACTTCCTGGGGAAAGCCATACTTGAGCTGAAGTCTGCAGAGGTGTGAACTGGTGAGATTGGACAGACGAGTGTTGCAGGCAGAGGAAACAGGGGCCTCAGATACGGGGTGAGAGGGAGCGAAGGGGAGCACAAAGAGCTACAGTTGCTATGGGTGACTGCACAGCAAGGTGTGAGGGAGGGATGGGGGAAAGACGAGTTCACCCCAGGCCAGATCGTGCAGGCTCTTTTCAGCCACGGCAAGGAGTCCATCGAGGATTGGAGTGGGAGGTAGTGGCTCTCCGGCCTCTCGTCAGAGGCGGGAGTGGGGCTGTGGAAGTGTGCTGTGGCCACAGCCCACTGTGAGCTGGAGAACCAGCAGGGGCTGGTGGTCAGCTGACCTCACCCCTCCTGTAGAATGTCATCGACATCTTGGAGTACTCAAACAAGAAGCGTGTGGAGCAGCTGAGGTCTGAGCTCCAGGAGTGGAAGGAAAAGGAGGAGAACAAAACGAACAGTAAGGGGTGACCCCCTGGCCCCCGCCTCATCCAGGAGCTTCTGGGGGAGGGCAGCTCCTTACCAGGCCCGTGCTGCCTTCTGGGGGGGGGGGAGCACGCAGCTGCGGGCTAGAGCGAATAGCTTACAAAGCGGGAAGCATGCTCAGTGTTTTCCAGGCCTGGGTGGTTGAGTGTCAGTGGCTGCACACCCACTGTACCCTCCTGGGATGCAGGGACTTTTCTCACACCGTACCTGCCAAGGAGGAGACCGAAGCCGGGGAGAGGAAGCCCCTCCTGCAGGCCATGTGGCTAGGAGTTGGAATCCAGGCTGAGCCTGTCGAGGTCCCTCTGCAAGGCAATGGCTGGGACCCAGGCCTGGCTTCCATTGCTCTGGATCTGTGATTTTTTTTGCCCCTCCCTGGGAGGCTAGATGCTGAGAGGAGGTGTGTGTCCGGGGGCTTGTGCCAGGCAGTCTGAGACACTGGGGATCACCTCCGTGGAGGAAGGCAAGATAGTGTTATCTTTCATTTGTTTACTTTTTATACGATACTCTGTATAGCTCAGGCTGACTTGGAACTCACTTAGTAGCCCAGGCTGGCCTTGAATTCTCAGCTGTCCTCCCACCTTAGCCTCTCTGGTGCTGGGATTATAGGTGTGAGCCATCGCGGCTGCCAGATTTTGTCTTATTCCTGCTAAGGATCATGTCTTGGACATCAGTGTCCGCCTATCTCTTTGGTCTTGCTTCCTCGGGGGCATGTATCTGAGGATGCTGAGATCCAGTCAGGGATAGTCTTGGTGGGGACCACTTAGCCGTCAGCAAAGCGGGACTGTCTAAGGACCTTGTACTTTTCCATTTCTCCTTTCTGGGGCCTGAGACCCTAGCAACTTCAGCTTCCACCACCTCCTACCCCGTGTGGGCACACCTCAGCCCAGATCCCAGTTCACTGGCCAAAGACAGCTGGACTTCCGAGGTCTCCTGGGAAGCTCTCTAAAGGAAGGCCCAGACATCTGCCCCTCCCTTCCCTGTGCTGTCCCTCCCCAGGCCTGAAGCGGGAGGTGGAACAGCTGCATGCTGAGATCCTGAAGGCCCACGAGGAGGTGAGTTTCCTGAGCACCTACATGGACCACGAGTATTCCGTCAGGTCGGTCCAGATCGCCAATCACATACGCCAGGTGCAGCAGGCAAAGGACAGCCAGCAGGTAAGGGAGCCCTTGGCCCCATACCTACACCGCGTGGAAGGTGCGAGTGGTGGTCAAACCCCTTTTGCCACCCCCCAGGACGAGCTGGACAACCTTAAGGAGATGCGTGACATGGTCCTGGGGAGTTTCTCCGACATGATTCAGGAGAAGAAGAAGAAAATCCTGTGGTCTCTGATGGTGGTGAGTAGCTGGGTGCTGTGGCGGGTCTCCAGGCCCTCCTAGCTTCCCCGTCCTCTGCCTCTGGTGTCCCTGTCAGCCACCTATGTGCTCCTGCCTTTGTCCCCAGAAAACCCAGCAACCCTATGAGGAGGTACTTATGCTGAAGACGCAGGATAGCCGGCGCCTGCAGAGGTGCACAGTCTGGTTCAGAGAGGTGAGGGCACCAGGAGGCCCATGGTGTGCGCGCGGGACCTGCAGGTGGGCCTTGGCTTGCACAGACCTGGTCCTCAGGAGGGGTCCTGCTCTGGTTTGGCCTTCTTCTTTGACTGCACCATTGCTGCTACTCAGCGTTCCTCTCAAAGGGGATTCCTGCTGGCCTGGACCTTGCCTTGCTGGCCACCATTGCAGGCCGTGACCCATTAGCTTCTTCACATGTCCCCGGCTCTACACTAGCTGCTTCCCTTCACCCTCTGGGCCATGATCAGAGTTAGGGGACGAGGCTCCGCCCTCTCCGAGTGAGTATCTATGTTTTCAAGTCGAGGTCCCCATCTCCACCAGTCCCTTTTTCTCACGTTGTGTGTCCCATCTCTTTGTCACCTGCCTCCATTCTTCACTGTCCCTTCACCTCACTTGAAAGGCCCATTCCTGGTCCTAAATCCGGCACGCCATAGTGACAAGGCCCATACCGTCTTCCAAGACACCTTCCTTTCGAGTATTGTCCCTTTTCCCCAGGCTCGGACTTCACACTTCCTTCCTGTGTCTCCCCTCAGCTAATTGAGCGGATGAAGAAGGAGATACCGGTACTAACTGCAGAGGTGGAGAAAATGTATGCAGAAATCTGGAATCCCCGAGACGTCGTTTTTAAGGATATTCTACTGCAGAGACCCAAGTATGTAGGCTAGGCTGCCGTGCTTGGCTGTGCAGGCCCGTTCCTAGGGAAGGCAATCGGGGTAGATGGCAAGAGCCTCGGCGTGGAGGGGAGGAACCCTGGGTGTGCCTCCACTCTGCCTCTAACCTAGACACAGCTTTCTCTGTCCATCTCTGATGTAGCTGACACAGATGGTTGGTTCCAGGGATATGGGGGACAAGGGCAGAAGGATATCTTTCCTGTTTGAAAGGCTTCTGTGCCCCAAGAAGAGAGTGTCTTTCCTTCCAAAATTAACCTTCAGGGCCTGCTTTACCTGGGATTAGACTCTATTGTAGGGCCAGATGGTAGTGGGAACAGGCTAGACCTCTTTATGATGCTACCTCAGGACCTTTTGTGGTGGCTGAGCCCAGCATTTGCAAATTACATAATTTTCCCTTATGTCTCCCGTCTCTTCCCAGGCCTCTCTTTGTGTCCTACCCTTGCCTACCTCCTACTTGGTGTTTTGAGACTGAGTCTCACTTTGTAACTTAGGTTGGCTTCGAATATGATTCTCCTGCTCAAGCCTCCCAAATGCTGGGGTTACCATATGTTTAGAGAATTTTTTTTTCTGGGAGGAGATGTCAAGCAACATCTGCCTCCTAAGGTTTCAATGACAAACCAAAGTTTGATTCCACCATCGTTCCTTCTGAGAACCCGATGAGTTTGTTGGGCTTATTTACAGCGTCTGGGTCACGAGGGTCGCTGACAGGAGTGTGTGTGCTTCCAGCATGGGTGATGGCTTCCCTTAACTGTGTGGGTGGAACCCCCCCCCCTTCTTACTATTCTTTCTCAGTCTATAAATTCTAGCCTCTCTCTGAGACCCTGAAGCCACATGTCTGGTTAGGAGGAGCAGTTAGATGCTCAGCTAAGGGCTCCATGACCCTCCCGGCTACCTTCTTCTGTGAGGGAATGCCATTAGTCACCAGATTGACACAGCCAAGCCTATGGAGATGGTGGCAGCTTGGCTTAGAGGACAGTCCTGTGCTTTCTCTGTCACGCATTTCCCATCTCACTTCTTCCTTCCTCTTGGAGTAACCCTTGGCTCTGCCCCCACAGAGCCGGGAGGGGGATAAGACATTAGGACACCGAGCTCTGAGCGTGGAACTGCTGTGAGCCCCATGAGCCTGGAAGAACCAGGGTTGTAAGTGGGGACAGTCAAGGAAGGACTCCCCGAGGACGTGACATTGACATGAGTTTCTGCTCCCCTCTGATCTTGGTCCTTTTTAGGGGTACATTAGTCCTTGCCGACTTATTCTTCTTCCCACTTTTGACCTGTGTGTGTACAGGCACCCCTGCCCCTGTGCATGTGTGTGCGCATGTGCAGGTGGCTGTAGACTGAGCTTGGGGATGACGTCTCCCCTCTCTGTCCCTGATCCTGGTGTCTCTGTTGACCCCTCACAGTCTTTTTCTGTTTCCTGCCAGGTGCACCCCAGACATGGCTGTTGAACTCAACATTCCTGTGCGAGAACCACTCCCCTTCTGACCCACAATCCCTCCTCCACCCCTCTCCCTTGCTGCTTGAACCAGGCAGAAATTCCCAGTCCTTGCTGCCAATAAAGCTGGGTTTGTGTTTGCTTGGTGCTGGTGTATGGGGCCCCACCTAGGCTTTGCTGGACACGTCACAGCAATGGTCTTTGCCTTAAGATCGGGGTTAGGCTGCTGTTCTGATGGCATCGGGGAGGGATGCTGGAGTGCGGCCTTCCCTCATCTCCATGGCTCCCTCCTGGTCCAGTGGGAGCTCAGCTTCCCTTACAGTTGGGGCCCAGAGCAGCTGAGGTCAGTGCCAAAGTCGAAGAGAGATTCCTTGAGATTTATTCACGCAGGAGCCTTCTGGGTCCACAGTGCTGATGGCCATCTCTCTTCCGGCCTAGCCTTGCTCTTCCCCCAAATGCATAGGGCTATGGCTTGAACTCAGCCTAGGTGCAGAGCTAGTCACAGAAGTACACGGCAGGCCCTTACCTGTTGAGAGCCAATCCTCCAAAGAAGGCCTCCTCCAGCTCCAAGTGACTGCACAAATGTCACAGCTGCAGGCTTCTTGGCTCAATTTGGAACTACTCCAAAGGACTGTTGTTTCCTTCTCTCACTCTGCAGCCCCCCGAAACCCCTCTGTCCCCGCCCTAACCACACAAATACAGCAAAGACAGACGTTTGTCCCAGATGAGCCTGTGGAGACAGGCTTGGCAAGCGGGGCTCATCTGCCAGATGTGTCACTCCTGGGCCTCGTAGGCAGACAGGGCTGTATTGCCTCGCTTTACCCAGTGCTTGGGGTGGCACTCAGGTGCCACATGTATGAAACAAATGTGCCATCCTGAGCTATGGCCCCAGGTGTTTTTTTTTTTTTTTTTTTTTTTTTTTTTTTTTTTTTTTTGTGATGGGGACCAAACTCATGCTAAACCATTTACCGAATTGCAACCCCAGCCCCAGATTAGGTAAAACCCTCCAAAGGGAACGCAGGATGGCTGCTTTGCTTTTTTGTGTCCATGAGACTCTCATCTGGACACTGTTTTCCAGCTGGAGGAGATGGGTGAGGCTTTGAAAGGAAGCACCTTTGATGGATCCTGGGGTACAGATGCCACAGTTTAAATAAACACGCAGTGGTCTAACCTACCAGGGGCTCTGTTTCTGAGAGGCAGTGGGGCTGTAGGACAGTTGCACCCACACGCTCCTTTTGACTGACTGCGTCTGTTGGCCATTGAAAGCGGAGCAAAGCTCGATCATCTCTACTCACTGCTGAGTAATCTGATAGTGACTGGTGCCCCTGAGTGTCCCGTGAGTGCCCCATGAGTGTCCCATGAGGCAGAAGATCCTCTGAGGGAAGAGGGCTTGCATCAGGGGCTCCAAGGTCGGGGTTTCTTAGAGGGTCCCGAGAGCTGCTGTCTGTGCAGCTTTAGAAGGGCAATGTTATCTTAGGTGAAGTCCTATGGGCATCACAGGTGAGAGGGTGCAGGTCCTCAGTCTAAGTCACTAGGATTCGGTGGACACAGGGCAGGGATTGGTTTTTCTGGGTAGTCTTGAGGCATAGAGCCTGGCTAGCGAAAGAGGTTCATGGACACAAATGTATTAGCCGGGCATATGGGTGAGCTTCTCCTTTGGGGATTTTCAGCACTGTATTCAAGCTTGCTGGGATCCCAGCTGATGGAGTTGGCTCTACACTGTGCTGACCCAATGAGCCTGATGTCAGGGTGAAGATGACCCCCCCCCACAGCCTTGGGGTTTGGATGGGGGGTGTCTCATGTCGGCACTAGGAACTACGAGGGTGCTCATCAAGCTGGCCATGGGAAATGGGCGTGAGATGACATTTCCATGCTCACTATGTAGGGTCTGGAGAAAGGGGGCAAGGGCACTGGGAGATAGCACTGGCTCAGGGGTGTCATCTGGGGTGTCACTCCTCTGTGGATGAGGGGCTGGGGCTCTTGTATTTGAGGATGTTTCTTGTGCCTGTGGCCCTGACTCTTGTTCACCACTGACTTCATCTTATGGGCAGGTACATTCACTTTCACCTTCTGGGGAAGTTCACTGTTCTCAGCTGTGTGGTGGAATTCCTGCAAAGGTGCTGAGGTTCAGGCAGTTCCAATCATGAAGCTTTCTCCATTCCCCGGCCCTCTTACTTTCCCCATCCAAAGCTGCCTAAGGGAGGCGGTGCTCATTTGAGCTCACGGTCCCCAGGGTGTGGTTCTCCGTGGCAGGGATCCCAGCAGCAGGAGCTTGAGGCATCTGGCCGTATCAGTCCACAGCTGGGAAGCAGAATGGTGTGCGCTTGTGCTCAGCTCACTCTCTGTTTCCGCAGTTCAAGATCTCAGCCTAGGGAATGGTGCCGCTCACTTTTAGGGTGGTGTTGCAGTGTTTTTGATCACACTGTGGACCCTGAGATTGAGTTAATTAAAAATAAACCTGAGGTCAGGAGGCAGAGCCAGTGGCTAGTTGACAGGAAGTAGCCATAGAGGGTAAAGAGGGAATTGGAAGACAGATAGAGAAATGCACAGGAAGTAGTAGGGAGGGACTTTGAGTGTGGCTATCATTTTTGGTTTGGTAGTGCGGAAGGACACTCTGTCATCTTAGTTTGTGTTTCTGTTGCTGTGAAGAGACACCATGACCACAACAACTTTTTTATTTTATTACTTTTTTTGAGACAGGGTTTCTCTATGTAGCTTTGGAGCTTGTCCTGGCACTTGCTCTGTAAACCAGGCTGGCCTTGAGCTCACAGAGATCTGCCTGCCTCTGTCTCCCAAGTGCTGAGATTAAAGGCATGCACCACTACCATGCGGCAACCACAGCAACTCTCATGCAGTAAAACATTTAATTGGCACAGCCTGCTTACAGTTGCAGAGGTTTGGCCCATCATCATCATGATGGGAAACATGGCAGCAGGCAGGCAGACGTGGTGCTGGATTAGTAGTTGTGAATCCTACATCTTGTAGGCAGCAGGAAGTCCACTGAGACAGTAGATGGTATCCTGAGTATAGGAAACCTCAAAACCTGCCTCCTCCCAACAGTGACACATTTCTCCAACAAGGCCTTGCCAACTCCAACAAAGCCACACTTCCTTTGAGATTATAGGGGCCAATTATATTCAAACTACCACATTTTACTCCCTGTCCCCATAAACTTGTAACAATATCATAGTGCAAAATGCATTTAGTCCAACTTCGAAAGTCCCCATAGTCTATGACAGTCTAACAATGTTTTAAAGTCTAAAGTTCGAAGTCTCTTCTGAGATTCGTGCAATCTCTTAACTGTAATCATCTGTAAAAATCAAAATAAAAAAGCATATAACATACTTCCAGCATATAATGGCACAGGTTATACATTCCCATTCCAAAATGCAGGGAAGGGAGCAGGTTGAGGAAGTACTGGGCCTAAACAAGACAGGAAACCAGCTGGGCAGGCTCCACACTCTGTAGCTCCACGTCTGATGTCAAAGCACTTTTCAGATCAATTCCTTTCAGCTTTGTTGACTGTAACACACATCTTCCTCTTGGGTTGGTTCCACTCCCTGTAGGCAGCTGTCTTTGGCAGGTATCCCGCGACGCTGGCATCTCCAACATATTGGGTTCTCCAAGGGAATCCAGGCTTCAACTTCATAGTTTCACACAACGGCCTCTCTGAGCCTCCATTCAGGGACACTCCTGACACAGGCCTAATCTCAGCGGCTTTCCTTAACAGCAGAGGCAAATTCCATAGGTCCTTTCTTCTATCCTTAACACCAGAACCATGTCTCCGATGTTGCCAAGTTTTGTTGCGTACTGGGGCTGGAACATGGTCTCCTCATTCAATTACATCTTCACCAACTTCCTGTTTTTGATGGCTTCTTCCACTGCCTAAGCTTGACTGTCCTGGAACTTGCTCTGTAGACCAGGCCTGCCTCAAACTCAGAGCTCCACCAGCCTCTGCCTCAGAATAAAGGTGTGCACCACCACACCCTGCTCTAAGCTTTTCTTTACTTCCTTTTCAATAGTTGGAAATTTCACTGTGTGGGATCTTGCCCTGAGGTCCCACTCCCTTTTCTCAATTTCTTAACCCATTTATCTCCCTGAACACATGATTAGCTCCATTCCATTTCCTGGTGCTCTTTTTCTCCTCAAAGTTTACACTTTGTAATTTTCCCTGCTCAGCTTGCTCTTTTCATCATAAATCTTCATTAGAGTTAGCATTAATAACCGCATCACAGAGTCTATACTAGGCTGCTTTGAGATTTCTGTTGTCAATGGAATTAATCCAAAACTCTTCACTCTAGTCTCAGGCAGCCTCTTTGGACAAGGGTGAAAGGCAGCCACTTTCTTCACCAAAATATCATAAGAATGATCTCTAGGCAACATACTGAAATTCTCCTCTGAAACATCTTGAGTGAACTCCTGTAGTTCAAATAACTCACAGCACCACTGTCTCCCATGCTCCTGTTAGCAGGGTCCATTAGCAGTGCTTAAAGCATTCTGCTTTCCTGGGCTGCAGAGATGCCTCGGTAAGAGCACTGCCTGTTTTTCCAAAGATCCCGAGTTCAATTCCCAGCAACCACATGGTGGCTCACAACCATCTGTAATGTGCTCTGGTGCCCTCTTCTGGCCTGCAATTATATGTGCAGGCAGAACACTGTATATATAATAAATAAATCTTAAAAAAACATTCTGCTTTCCAAACCCAAAGTACCGGTCTATATTTCTCCAAACTAAAAACGTGCACACCACACACACACACACACACACACACACACACACACACACACACCAGAGTTGAGTTTAGTAAGGATTATGGCTCGGCACACCTCAGGCACTAGATGACTAGGCACTGAGTTCTTGTTCTTTTTAAAATTAGCACGCATTATCCAGAGTAAAGAGCATCACCAGGACATGTCACCCATGCATGTTATATCCATGCCTGTTACCCTCCCTTGTCCCCTTTTTCCATTTCTCCTTTTAGGATTCCAGCTATGAGAGAGACACATGTAGTTGATGTCTTTCTGAACCAGACTTTTTTCACAGAAGGATCCCCACTTTGTTTTTCTCAGTCTTTGTATGAGCTCATTCATCTTTATGGTGGAGCAATAGCCATGTGTCTATCTATATACAATCCATTACAAAATGAGTGTAGGTCCAGGCATGGTGGTGCACACCTTTAATCCCAGCACTCTGGAGGCAGACAGGGGGATGATCTCTGTGAGTTTGATCTTCCTGGTTGACATATGGAGTTCTAAGACAGCCAGGGCTGCATAAAGAGACCCTGTTCAAAGCAACAAGTTAATGTATAGTATTTGTACAAAGTGGTAGGTTTCCATATGACTTTGTTTCTTTTTCCCAGGGCCAGGCTGGCTGGGAACTAGTGATCCTCCTGCCTCAGCTTCCAGAGTGCTGGGATTGCAGCTGTGTTACCTGCCATGCCTGCCAGGGTTCCTCCTTCCCTCTTTTCTCCTCCTTTTCCTTCTTCCCTCCCTCCCCTCCTTCTCCGGCTATAGCTCCTCCTCTTCTCCCCCAGGCCCACGTTCTC